AGGAAAAAAAATCTCCAAATCTCCTGTCTTAAAAATATTTAACATTAAATACCAATCAAATTATCATTGGTCATACTAATAGCTATATTTTATTCACATGTTCTGTGTTTCTTTACTAAGCTCTTTATACATATTCTTATTTAATCTTGGTAAGTACCCTATTAGTTAGGGTCTAGTCTATCCTTCTTTTACAGATGAGAAACTGAGGATGAGGAAGTGGGAAAGTTGACCAAATCCATATAGCTGTAAGTGGTAGACTGGGAGGAGCCAAGATTTAATTCAGAATTTTCTGATTCCAGATTTAAGCTCTTAATCACTATTCTTTATTTTCCCAAGTATCAATAGAAAAAAAATATATATATATATATTGATTAAATGCTCTGATAAAATTCTAAAATATATATGGCCTTTTAAAATAAGTTTTTTTTTGCATATGTTAAAAAGCTCCCTTGATGCGACTTTCTACATACCCAGTTGTATTAAAGTATCCTTCACATTAATTAATTTAATTTAATAAAAAGTATTTTGTAAATGGAAAATCTCAGCATAAAGTAATGAGTCCCTTGACTCATTTTTGTTTGTTTGTTTCAGAACTTCCACTCTTGACTTGATTTACCTGTGTTCCAAAATATTTTACTCAACATCACTAGTTCATCTCTAACTGTGGTATATACTAGCATGGAATTTGGCCACTGAAATAAGTTCATAGATCAGCTAGTTCAGCCTTCTAAGAATTGGTGAACGCTTTGAGTAGTGAGAGAGCTGCAGTGACCACAGCTCTCCTGCTCTTAGGACAGTGTGGATTTGGGATGCCACCACTCAGCCTGCTCCCCTCACTCCCAGGGACTATGTGCAACCTAACTGATTTGTGCTGGAGCACTCAATGAGAGCATGTGTTTGGTTTTTCAATTTCCCATTCTACATTTTCAATTCAGAGGCTCAGATTTGAAACATTATATTCTGTAGAATAATATAAAAGTTGGGGACAAAAGAAGCATGAAATGATGTTGATAATAATAATGATTGGTAAAATTTAAGAACCTTTTTTGGTAGTAAGCTTTAAAGTTTTCAAAGACCTTTCCTAACATTTTAATGTAAGTAAGCTCATACCAACCCAATGAAGTACATAAGACATGTTTTTCATACTTTTTTTAGCAAGTGGGAAAACTAAAAGGTTAACTGACTTTCCCCAGATAACATATCCAGTACGTTGCTTGAGCCTTAAAACATATGTGTTTACTTCCTCTTCAGCTCATAAATCACCTCTACTTCATATTCAGTTGCTCAAGACATAGAAATTCAGTGATCCCCTCTTAACCCTGGACCTCAAAGGGGGCACCGGAATATTAGATCCTACAATTATTAGAAATTCCCTGAGGTAAAATACAGCCATTCATAATAGCTCTCTACTGAGTCAGTTTTGCTACTCACTATCCTCCTCTTGGAATATTTAAGCCAGGAACTTATTTCTTTCAAATCTGTATTCCTGATGATGGCTGAAAGTCAAAAATATAGTTATTGAGAAAATATAGAAGAAAATAGAGTAAAAAATAAGTTTTATTTGGCTTCGTTAAGAGGTAGTTGAAATGCCACACTTTATGCTAATTGACAAAAACAAGGCCTTTCTTCAAATGTGTGGTTTTATTTTCCTAATTATTTTTCCAACTGTCTTCTGTCTTAACAGCTTCTAGCAGAAGTGGCTGTACCTGAGTCAACCATCTGTATAGTTAAGCTGAACATTTCCAAAATATATATTTTTCAAAAAGAAACAGTAGTGTTTTTTATTTAGCTCATGAGATTTTTTTCAAGCTTTAGTTATTTCTCTATATGAAGTAATAAGGAAAAGCCAGAAAAATGAAAAGACCTGCACGGTAGCATCAGGAAAACAGCGCAATGTCTAGCATCCTTTCATCTTGATGTCAGTTATTGGGCAGACACTGGCCACAACATGTCGTTAAAGGTTACATTGGGAAGGAAGCAGTTAAACATGAGTAATTTCTAACTTTGTGACTCCAGCTGTCACTGGGCTTTCAAACTGCCACTTTCTTGGTGACAAAACCTACTGCCACTGAGAAGTTCCTACATCACTTAGGACAGTGGTTGGCTCATAGTAAGCTTATCATATATAAATAACTGATTAGAATTCAACTTCTCAATAAAAGAAGCAATGTATATATTCCAGTTTCCTCAATACTGCTGAAAGAAATTAAATGTCTTTCTGATAAATCAAAATTAAATTGCTGTCTTAGGTACCAGTGAGCTTATCACACATTAAAAAAATCATGCATAAAAATATCTACAGCTTGTTTTACGAAATTGAAATTCATTTGAGGAACATGCTAAGCTCATAAAACCAAAACTTCAGACACTAGACCACATTCCTGGGGAAAGCAAGTGACCTTTTTCTCATGTTTGTTTACAGCAAGCCATTCTAGACTAAACTCCATTAAGTAGAGAGGTTCTGATGGTCTTTTGCTGTATACACAAACAGTGCATTTATTCTAAACACAATGAGGGAGGTAGGAAGTGCACATCACCAAAAACTACACAAAAAAAAGCATACTGACCACTACATATTTTGACAAAGTAGATAATCAGATTAACAAAAGTTAAAGACCTTTTTTAACACCTAGGCTAAATTAAAAACAATACTATCTCATTTTTGGTTTTGCAATATTGTATGCTACACAGGTTTAGTTTTCAATCAGAAACAAAAGCTCGTTTAGAAGGTCTGCTTGAGAAAAATTGTTTGCATGTATAATTGATAAATGACCTACACTTCTATCCTGAGTCATTTGGGTTTTAATTTCCATGTTTATAAAGCTTTCAGACTATTTTCTATGTACTAGAAATGTGTCTTTATATTCCAAAACTTTCTGTTATATAGTCTTTACATCTTGACTGAATAGAAAGTATGGGTGTGTAATTTATAATGTTAATATTTATTAAAATGACCCCTTAAATAAGTCAAATTATTTAACTTCAATTTTCAGTGAGTGTTTTCAAAAATATTTTCAAAAATCTATCCATTACCTAATTTGAAGTTTAAATGATAAGTCTTTAATGCCCACTTTAGTGTATCAGAAATACATCACTTTATGATTATAATTTAGCCTCTGCACCTGAATTACTGCTCTTCTCTTTCAGAGTGATGTAAAGAAATGTTGACTAATTAGGAACATTAAAGCTATATGCTGCTATAGGCTCTTTCAGATAGACTCTTGAAAAAGATCATCAGCCAACTGCCCTTGCTAGACTTCTCACAGATTTGCCTGGAGAAGGACAAAGAGGATTTTTTAACTATAACTGCCTCAAATTCTTGGAAAACTGGGAACTATTTACCTCTAGAAGAATTACATTCCTGGGTTGGCTTTCAAAGACAATTTACGATTTCAGAAGTCATGTCAAACCGAATGCCATTAATGACCTTCTGGTTAAAGAGTTTTCTCTGAGGCATAAGGTTTATTTAAAAAAGATAGAAGGAGGAAGGAAGAAAGGAGGGCAAGAAAGAAGGGAAAGAAAGAAAAGAAGAAGGGAAGGAAGGGAAAGAGAAGAAGGAAGGAGAAACGAAGGAGGAAGGAAAGAAGGAAGTAGGAAGGAAGGGGGGAAGGGAGGGAGGGAGGAAGGGGGAAGAAAGGAAAGAAGGTGGGCAATGACCTTCTTTGGTTTGTTTTTTTCATTGACTTGAGGAGGGAAAGAATTGATGATAGATGTTGACTTCATAGCAACTTCAGTTACTCCCAGCTTCTGTCAATTTTCTGAGACTAAACATGAGGAGAGGGGAATAGAAAGGAGAGGGAGCAGATTTCATATCAATAAATCTGTGCCTTCTTTTTCTGAAGGAAAATATTTAGCTTACATATATTATCAGACCCATTATATATTTCACTTTAATTTCCTCAGGAAAGACATCATTCTTATTGCAAATATGTATTCAAGTGATGGAATTCATCTATACCCTGGATATGTTGTTGCTTGCATTTTGCCAAGGGAAGATAAATATTCTTAATTAAGTGATAACGTTGAAAGTTATTGATCAGTATTTAAAATCTCCCACAGTTTGAATTCCTTATGAGAATCAACCCTGGCTTCAATAGAAGGTGATGTCCCCACAACAATGTCCCCATCTCTATTTCTTAGACTAATATTTGGAAGCTGAAGACAGGGCTTGGTTTGTAAAAGTTTGAGTTGACAGAACAGGACAAAAAGGAATAACACTGTGAAATCCAGAGATGTGTTTGGAATGAGCACAGATTATGAGAGCAAGTTAGAAAACGATATTCCTGCCTTTATGCATGAAGAGCGAACACATTTATAAAAAAGCAGCATGCTGTTTCTCAGTATCTGCTAGAGAAAGCCAAAAAAGCAAAACATACTTTATTATGAAAAATATTATATAGAAGTTTTCTAGGTAAGCACGGATATGAATGAGTGATTCCTGGTGTGCCAAAAAAGAAACTAAAATTCAAAATCCACAAAAGTACCCAATTCATTAAAATTTTTGAAGTTAGGACTTAATATTATTTGGTAGTGAAGAGAACTCCCAAGGTATTCGTCACTGTTGAAGCACATGTCGAAATTTTTTGAATTGCTGGATTAAAAAAACAAAATTACGTGCCATTATTGGTATCAGCACCATTTTACCCCAAAAGTGACGCAAATGGACATTGACTTCAGTGACTTAATACCTCTGTGTTGACCATTTCTCTGACAAAAACACCCATTCCTAGGTTATCCTGAAGGGCACCTGCAGGGTAACATGTAATGACTCTTTCTCTATAAACATAAAGTGCTTCGAGTTTTTCTGTTACCAAATATTGACAAGCATCCAGGGATTCCTTCTTTCTTCTTTTTAATCATAAAATCGCTCACTATTGCCTGTATTTTTCAAAACTCCCATATGATTGTTACTGTAAATACAATTAAGAAAAGGAGAACAGGGGCGCCTGGGTGGCTCAGTCGGTTAAGCGACTGCCTTCGGCTCAGGTCATGATCCTGGAGTCCCAGGATCGAGTCCCGCATCGGGCTCCCTGCTCGGCAGGGAGTCTGCTTCTCCCTCTGATCCTCCCCCTCTCATGCTCTCTGTCTCCCATTCTCTCTCTCAGATAAATAAATAAAAAATCTTTAAAAAAGAAAAAAAAAGAAAAGGAGAACAAACAAATAAGGAGGGAAGTAGGAGAGAGATTTTATAATCTAACACACCATAAATATCAAAACTCTTTTTATTCAAAATGTACTATATATATGTATATATATATATACACACACACAATATATATATGTATACACACACACACACTGTATTTTCTTTATCCATCCGTCTGCTGATAGACATTTAGATTGTTTCCATATCTTGTCTATTGTGAATAATACTGCAACAGACGTAGGAGTCCAGCCACCTATTTGAGAAACTTACTTCATTTCCTTTGAATATATGCCCATAGTGGGATTATTGGATGATACGATAGCCATATTTTTATTTTTTTGAGGAACTTCTATATTATTTTTCCATAGCAGCCATACCAATTTTCATTCCCCAAAACAGTACACAGGGTTTCATTTACTTCATAGCCTCATCAGCATTAGCTCTCTCTTGTGGTTTTGAGAAGAGCCATCCTATAAGAGGCGTGAGGTTAGACATCCATTGTGGTTTTTGATTTGCATTTCCCTGATGATACTGAGCATATTTTCATATGCCTTTTGGCCATGTGTATGCCTTCTTTGGAAAAATGTCTATTCAAGTCCTTTGACTAATTTTTGATAAAATTTGGGGGGATTTTGCTCTTGAGTTGTATGAGGTCCTTATATATTTTTGGATACTAATTGTTGTTGGATAGGTGGTTTACAAATATTTTCTCCCATTCCATAGGCTGCCTTCTCATTTTATTGATTGACTGCTGTGCCGAAGCGTGTTGGCTTTATGTAGTCTCACTTGTTTATTTTTGGTTTTGGTGCCTATGCCTTTCGGCCATACCCAAAAAAACATTGCCAAGGCTAAGCTTAGAGAGTGCCTCTATATTTTTTTGGAGTTTTACAGTTTCAGGTTTTACATTCAAGTCTTTAGCACATTTTGAGTTGATTTTTTGTGCCTGGTGTAAGATAAGGGCCTAATTTCATTCTTTGGCATGTGGATGTCCAGTTTCCTCAGCACCATTTATTGAAGAGACTATCCTTGCTCCCCTGTGTATTCTTTGCATCTTTGTCGCAGCTAATTGACCATATGTGCACGGGTTTATTTCTGGGTTCTGTATTCTGTTCTAATGGTTGTCTGTTTTTACACCAATACCATGCTATTTTGATTACGACTGCTTTGTTGTTGTTTTTTTTTTTTAATTTTATTTATTTATTTGAGAGAGAGCACATAAGAGGGGGGAGGGTCAGAGGGAGAAGCAGACTCCCTGCCGAGCAGGGAGCCGGATGCGGGACTCGATCCAGGGACTCCAGGATCATAACCTGAGCCGAAGGCAGTCGCTTAACCAACTGAGCCACCCAGGCGCCCCCATATTCATCTTTTAAATGCTGTGAATAATTTAGAGGTTTCAAATGTACCCTTGCAAATTATGCTTCAAATGAGCAATATTGTTTTTCTGATAATAGTTAAGCACATATTTAATGACATTTTGGGGCAATAAATTTAGAAGAATAATTCATTTAAAAACAGGGTGAGATTATAATCTTTTTCATAGACCTTTTTTTTTTTAAGATTTTATTTACTTATTAGAGAGAGAGAATGAGAGCGAGAGATAGCATGAGGGGGGGAAGGATCAGAGGGAGAAGCAGACTCCCCGCCGAGCAGGGAGCCCGATGCGGGACTCGATCCCGGGACTCCAGGATCATGACCTGAGCCGAAGGCAGTCGCTTAACCAACTGAGCCACCCAGGCGCCCGCCTCCAGCTTTGTTCTTACTCAAGATTGCTTTGACTACGCCATGCCTTTTGTGGTTTTATATAAATTTTAAGATTGCTGTGCATGTCTGTTAGGTCCATTGGTTTAAAGTGTAACTGATGTCCAGTGTGTCCTTGTTAATTTTCTGTCTGAATGATTTATCCATTGTTATTAGTGGAATATTGAAGTCTCCTACTATTATTGCATTGCTGTCTCTACCTTAGACCTGTTAATATTTGCTTTATTTATGTATTTAGGTGCTCCAATGTTGGATGCATATATATTTACAATTATTATATACTCTTGATGAATTGACACCTCTATCATTCTGTAGTGACCTTCTTTGTCTTCTGTGACAGATTTTGACAATTCTATTTCATCTGAAATGAATATAGCCACTCCTGTTCTCTTTTGTTGGTTTATCACTTGCATAGAATAGGGTTTTTCTATCCCTTCACCTTTCACTTATGTGCTTCCTTAAAGGTAGAGTTTCTTGAAGGCAACATATTGTTGATTGTATTTTTTACTCATTCAGGAACTATATGTCTTTTGATTGGAGAATTTAATCCATTTACATTTGAAGTAATTATTGATAGGTAAGGACTTACCCTTGTCATTTTGTTGTTTTCTGACTGTTTCATGGTTTCTTTGTTCCTTTCTTCTCTTGTTACCTCCCTTTCTGATTTGATTTTATTTTCGCTATAATTTCTTTTTCTTTATCTTTTGCATATCTATCATAGGTTTTTCTTTGTGATTACCATGAAGCTTACATAAGACATTTTATACTTTAACAATCTATTTTAAGCTGATAACAACTTAACTTTGATTGCACACAAAAACTTTATACTTTTATTCTCCCCCACCGTATTTTATGTTATCCATATTGCTATTTACATTACTTTATGATATGTATCCAGGGGCTGGAGGGGGCCCATGGGCTGCTTCATGGTGCACAGCTGGGACTGAGGTTGGCAGACTTGTTACCCAACGCATAAGCAAGGAGGGCTTCTCCTATGTCCCTTAGTGGATGGTGCTGATGACAGGACCAAGACCTAGTGGGATTGTAGCCAAATTCCTAGGGGATATGGCTATTCTGTAACCAGAACCATGATTCATAAGCCAGCCATCTGGACATGGGCCAGGCTTCTTAAATGACCTTCCTTTGTTGTGGGCTCCACCATGGCTTCCAAACTTCCTACCTGGGTCCCAAAGCTCCCACAGAAGCACTTTTGTCCATAAATGGCTGCCAAATTATTGTCACTATGGGGGTACATGAGCAGGGGACTTCTTATTCCACCATCTTGCTGATGTCCTATTTAAGCAAATTTTTAAAAAGCATGTCTAAATTGAAAAAAAAAAAAAAAGAATCTCATGAGCATTTTACAATCTTTAAACCTTAGAAAAAATAATTCAGTATTAAGAGATTACAAAATAACATTTTCATAAATATTTTAGTACACGCACATTTTTCTCTTCCAATAAACTTAAGTAGTAATAATAGAAAATTAATAGGTTTATGCTGAAATCCCCTCATGCTTCTCTTCATATCACCCAGTTACAAACTACTAGGAAATTAGATTAAATATGTTGACAACTGAACAAATCATCTCCAAATAATAGAGACAGAGCATTATGAAAAAAAAAATCACACTTCTTAACTTTGTCCATAACCAACAAACCTGGAGCCAAGGAAAAAGTCATGGTATTTATTTCATTGCTACTCATCTATGTCTTTTGGACAGTGATACAAATATCCACACATGTTTTACTTGTTTGTTTAGCTGGATATTAAATAACATTTGAAAGCAAATTCAAAAGATGAAAAAGGATACTTCAAAATTATATAATTGAACACACAAGTTGCTGTTGTGATTTCTTGGTCAAAATTATAAAATCAAACAAGCAAAGTGTGCAAATTAGGACTGTTTTTACCTTGCTTTTTTGAGACAAATTGAGACTCTCAATTCTGGCTGCACTAAGAAGAATTTCTGAATGCTGTCACCACGCCAAAGCAACACCGAAACAGCTACGTCGGTAGTCTCAGGCCAGGGGACATTTTCCATTTCATAACTCATTCCCCAGATGTATGATCATACCTTATATACACAGAAAACAGAACAATAAACCCTTAAATATGCTCATGGGCAGTTTTTCACAAGGGCAAGTTCACAGGATAGCATGTCTGCCTGAAGAATTATTCCCTTGCTTTCCCTATTTATTCTCAAATTATCCATTTCCCAAAGAATTAAAATGGGTGAAAATATCCCTCATGTGATCATTTTATTTGGAAAACACTTTATCTGTGTTCGAACAGTGAGTTTTCACAAGTTTAAACTTGAAGTGAGCTTCAATATTTTTTTCTCTGTAAGCCATTTTTGCTGGTGGTAAAATTGCTACAAGGCTTTCTATCTGTTGCTGGTATGCCATTGCTAAATGTATGTCCAAAGAAATAAAAAATTTGCTACTCTATAACTCCTTAAGTTAATACCATAAAGTAAGTAACTTTATCACAGTCCCATAGGGAGACTGTAGATTTGTGGAGAATGCAGACATTCTGGGACTCTAGTCAGCATGTTTCAAGAAAGGATGCATATGAAAGAATCCAGATCCACACTGAGGGTTTTTAGAGCAGGCTCCATCTAGACTGGTGGAAATCATACCTGCCAAGGAAGAAATATTTTCTAGATTAATAAAAAATGCTTTCTTTAAGAAAACTGTGCTATAACAGTGACCAATAAAATGTCCAATCCATGGGGCGCCTGGGTGGCTCAGTTCGTTAAGCGACTGCCTTCGGCTCAGGTCATGATCCCGGAGTCCCGGGATCGAGTCCCGCATCAGGCTCTCTGCTCGGCAGGGAGCCTGCTTCTCCCTCTGACCCTCCCCCCTCTCATGTGCTCTCTCTCTCTCATTCTCTCTGTCTCAAATAAATAAATAAAATCTTAAAAAAAAAATGTCCAATCCACAAAACCAGTTATCTACCTAATGAGCCATACCTCATGGAAAATTCTGAATGTAATTAAGGATCAACTGTGTTGCACGACTGCATGGTTTCCATTCACATAACCTACAAAGGGAATGCTACCCACCTTCAGCTAGGCAACATGTTGATACTGAACTAACCTTATCTTCAGGATGCAATTTACAAATAAATGTTTCTTCTCAACCATTATGCATTATATATTGAAATGTTTTGAAAACGCATATGCTCTTCCATGTTACGGTTGATATTACTACATTTTAAAGCCCAAATGCCACATTTTCAGTGAAGCCGTAATCATTTAAAGTTATTTTAATGGGGAGTATAATGTATGTTTTTATTTTTTTTTTTAAGATTTTTTTTTTATTAATTTATTTGAGAGAGAGAGAATGAGAGACAGAGAGCATGAGAGGGAGGAAGGTCAGAGGGAGAAGCAGACTCCCTGCCGAGCAGGGAGCCCAATGCGGGACTCGATCCCAGGACTCCAGGATCATGACCTGAGCCAAAGGCAGTCGCTTAACCAACTGAGCCACCCAGGCGCCCCAATGTATGTTTTTATTAATAATTCAATAAATTTAAAGAGCTGTGAATTAAAGCACATTGATGAATATTTGTGTTTGCCTAGTACTCCTTCCCTTTTGCAATGGTATCTAAAATATCCTTTTTGGATTCTTACTTCCCTCGGTCCATGGGATCTGCCCCAAGATACAAAGGTGGGCATAGGATCCAGGCCTGTACAACAAGAGCATCCAAGCTCCAAGTATTGTTCAGGCTAGGTATGTAATCCAGGTAACAATGATTAGAGTAATCCCAGGAGTTCAGGGAGCCTTCTGCCTGCACCAAGGGAGACTACTTTACAACAGAGCAGTGGTTCTCTAAATGTAGTCCTCGGACCAGCAGTATCATAATCACACGAATACTTGTAAGGTATGCAGATCCTCAGGCTTGACCACCCCAGACATATTGGAACAAAAACTCTGGGTGTGAGACCCAGCAATCCACCTGTGCTGTGGACATTTTTGCCAACATGACTTTATGCAGTGCTTACAATGTTATTACCCTCTTGCTGTATATTTTAATTGGCTCCTTTCTTCAAGGACTAATTCAAAAGCTTTCTCTTCCATGAAGTCATTCTTGATTGTGGTTTCTATTCATTATTTTCTTTCAATTTTATTTTTACTTTATGTGTACCATTTCCAAAAATTTAAAATGACTCGACTTGCATTATTGTCATTTATGTGTGTATCTCACTTACCCCGTTAGCTTAAAACTACTCACAGAACAAAAGAGAGTCTTATCCATAATTGTATCTCCAAATGTATGTGTGGGTGAATGAATAAATAAATGAATATCCAGAGTTTTAAAAAAATTAAGGTGGGTGGATGAATTAGAAGAGCTAGAACTTCTCATTGAGGATTTCATCACTGCATCACTGAGGAGTCAGTGATGTAAAAATGCCAGTTATTCCCATATTGGTCCATGGAGTTAAAGCAATCCAAATAATCACAACAGGTGTGTGTGTGTGTGTGTGTGTGTGTACTGACAAGTTTGGTGTGTTCATTCTGAAAATTCATCAAGCTGTACATATATAATTTGTGTACTTATATATATATATGTATTTCAGTATTTTAAAATCTAAAATATTTGTATTTCTGAGAGATATTTTATTTCATTCTCAATTAATTTTCTTTATTAATGCTTTTTTTCCCCAAGTACCTAAGAATAAGGCTTCAATTTTTTATAATCTTTATTGCAGCAGCTTTTAAATAAGGTGTGAAACATAGTCTTTTTAGTCCTTCTCTGAAATGAAATTAGGTGAGATATGGCTTTTGGCATTTATGAATGGGAACAAAAGGAATTTTTAATATAAACATGTTCTAAAAAGGTCATTGACATGTTGAAAGCTCAGAAGACAGATGTTCCCATTTTATATAATACTTCTCCTATTTTTAAACCTGTTCATCCTCTCAGTTGTCAAATTTAACTATTAAGCATTTTCATTCTGATCTCCTGGGAGAATTTTAGTCAAATAACCAAGATAATTCCAATTTAAATGTTAATTAGTCAAAATTTAGTCCAGGTATCAGCTGAGGTTACTGTGTGCTTTGACATTTAGATCAAACGATCAAGCTGGCTCAAGTCCTCATGGCTAGATTTATGGAATATCCAATGCTCTAGGTAAGGTTTCAGTGAATTTTCTGAGGAATTGTGTTTTCACACTGATTTCCTGCTTCCTTTGGCTCAATCTCTTTACCATCTTGATTTCTATTACCCTTCTCTTTTATCTGGTCTGCATTGTCCAATCTCTGTGTTAGCTGCATCCAAATAATGTGTTCATTTTATTTTTAATGATTAACTGTGATCTCCTGTTAAAATTTGTATTGAGCTATAAAACTGTCTAACTCTGTCTTCTTACTATATTTCCTCCAAAAGGATATTGGAACTCCATCTGGGTCAGTCAGATAATTAGGTACCCTGAAATATAAAGACCATTGTTAGTACTTACTATATTTTCATTTCAACCCAGCATTTCTAAGGAGGATCAATAATCACATGAGACATGTTCTCTAATTATACACTTTTCAAAATATCACATTCTGAGTATCATTTGTGATTTGGAATAGAAGTAACCATCACTTATGATGAGAAAAGAAAATTCCCTTCCCATACAGTACCTCATAAAATTATCATGTTCGCGAAACTAGTGTATTTCTGAGTTAGGAATATTTAATCTACTTTTAACTGTAATCTCATACAATTTGGACTCTTAATTGTATCTTAACATAATTCCCCATAATGTAATATATCAATAATCTGGTTAAAATCTTATCCTAACAGCAAATAAAAATTCATAACACTAAGTTTAATGATTTATCTCCAGATATGACTTCTAAAACCAAAGGCCTTTCAAGGTGGTCTCCTCCAGAAAGTGGAGAAGGACATCAAAACTTAACTACCTTCCTGGAACATGAAGTTTTCTACAAATGTTTCGATTTCCTGTTCTATGCTTTAAGAATAGTTAAAAGAGAAAATATAGAAAACTTATTTAAAATATGAAAATAGGAAGTAAAATAAGTTAAATGATCAAATGTTCTGGTTGATCTGTTTATTTTTTTAAAAAGATTTATTTATCTATTTGAAAAAAGAGAGAGAAAGAGTGTCAATTGGGGGTGGGGGGGCAGGGGCTAGAAGGAGAAGGAGAGAATCTCAAGCAGGCTCCACACCCAGCACAGAGCCTGATGTGGGACTCAATCTCAGGACCCTAAGATCATGACCTGAGCCAAAACCAAGAGGCTGATGCTCAGCAGACTGAGCCACCCAGGTGCCTCTCTAGTTCATCTGTTTCTATTACAATTTTTCCAAACTTTCCATGTCTGAATTTCTTATAATTGTATTTATTATACATGTAGTTGGTAAATGCATTTTGAGGTATAGAAAAATATGAGGTATAGAAAAATATGAGGTATAGAATAACTGCAGCTCACAGAACAATACATTCTAAACCTTAAGAATAAATATGACAATTTACTTGATTACTTTATAATCTGTCTAAACTTTAAGTCAGCCTTCTCAAGCAAGCATCTTAACAAAGTACTTACACAGAGAACACTGAACAGAGTATTTCAAAACCATGCACTCACCTTTAGTTGTTTATCACTAGTGTTGAACATATTCAGATACAGTCTATAAGATCTGGTGTTTGGGAAACCCCACAGCAGCTATGGAAGAAGAAATATGCAGCTACAATTTATATACACGGAACCCATTGCCACAGCAAACACTGACCTATTACACACCTTGCCCATCTCCATATAGTTGATTGATTTTTGTCATTTATTCGGTTGAATACTAATAAAAACCAACAGCAGCAGCCTAAGCAAGAGTCATAGCTATATATTCTAAAACATGAGGGTGTGGAAAGTTCGAATATAAAGGAATAGAAAATTATAGCAAAGAGTAGCAAATAAAAGAGCTGGTGGAGCTTTGTTGAAATTTAACAAAATAGGCTTTAAGGCACAATCACTACTTAAAATTAAAAGGACCACATCATAATGATATTTTTTGCCAATTCCCCAGAAATATGTAATAATTATTTAATAATGTAATAAATGTATTTGTACCTGATAATATGAATTTAAAATATAGAAACTATTAATTTAATAACTTTATTAATTTAATAATTATTATTAATTTAATAAAACTAAAAGAGATAGACAAATCCAAAATAACAGTGACACATTTTACTAAATAATTGCTAGAATATATAAACAATAAAAATATAGAAGTTTGAACAATATATTTTTAAAATATATCTCTTGGACATATGTAGAATGCTAGCCATCAAAAATTCAGTGTAGCATTTTTTTCAGGCACATATACAAGAAACATTTGCAATTATTGACTAAAAATAATGACCATATGTTAGACAATAAAGTAAATCTTACAAAAATGCCAAGAGATTGAAATGATACAAATTTTTTTCTAACCATAATTCATTATATTTGAAATCATAAGCAAAAACATATTAGAAAATGCCCATATTTATTGAATATAAAAGTAGTTTTCTAAATAGCCTACCTATAAAAATGTCATAGTAGAAAATAATAAAGTTTTGAAATAAGTGACAATAAAGTAACTACATACCAGAAGTTTTTTGATGTACTGAAGCAGTACTTAGAGGAACACTTAAACATCTTTAAGTGCAAATACTAGGAAAGAAGAAAGGCTGTAACAGTAATGTATTAAGCACCTATTCAATATATTATAGAATGGACAATAAAATAAAATGAAAAAGTGAGGAAAGTAATAAGAGCAGATATTAATAAGACATAAAATCAAGAGAATCAAGAGAGCAAAAGTTCTTAGAAGATAATTAAATTGCTAAATCGCAGGCAAGTCTTACAGAGGAAATTTTAAAAAGAGTCACAACTAGCCAATGTAAGGACATCAGACATATGAAAGATAATGAGATAATGTTATAAACAATTATCTGCCACATTTGAAATGGACAAATCACTAGAAAAATACAACTTACAAAACTGAAATCAAAGAGAAAAGCTGAGTAATCCTATAAATCTTTTAGTTAATCATTCTATCTTGCCAACATTTCTCTTTAATTTTTTGTAACTATTTTGCATTTTTCAACCATACTTATAAGCAAAATATGTGTGTCTATAAATAGTTTATGTAATTCTACATTTAATGGGAAAAAAAAAGAGTAAAGACTAAAGAAACCCATGAAAAGAATGCAAATGATACCATAATCAACAAAAGGCACAACATCATGGGACACGTGCTGCACAATATCTTTATTGCTACAAGTTTATAAACTGTGAGACATCAAATGGAAAACTTGCCACAAAATGCATTAACTATAAAACTTTGTGTGGTTGGCTCTCGTGTGATAGTGCCCATCTGTTCCTGAAGCAAAGGAAATCCTTCAGAAGCCTTTTAAATCATAAGAAAACTTTGCAAGTAAAATAGGGGTAGTAAATGAAACTCCTTGTAAAGCTGAGTTCTTATAACCTGATTTATCTAAACTCAAGTTATAAATCTACATTTTTTTATATAAATACATAAACATGTAGAGGAGTCCTTAAGTACAGCCAGGCTTTCCTCTGTTTATGTAGGTAGTGGGATTGCTGTATAGAGTGGCACAGAAGGAAGAGGGAACAGAGGGAATTAAAGAGAATTATAAAGCTTTAAAAATAGTCAGCCATGTATGACATAATCTAATTCATGTGAAATAACTTAAAAATAGAATTGGACATAAGATATATAGTTAGTGAGAAACAAAGAGTTTTGTAGTAATTTGCAGATTATGATTATGAATATATAAATTAAAAACCCAAATTATCAAGGTGTGTTTATAAGTTCTATAAGAGGAAGAACAAAGTTCTGAGGAGATAAACAACAACTTATTAGCATTGGATTGATCAAAGGTGAGAGATCGAAAGGGGGGGATCAGATAGATGATTAAACTGCAGGCACCTATTTTTTTTTTAATAGTCCATTTTTCTCAATACAAAAAAGTTCACATGTTAATTTAATCATGTCATATTATGTCATTTTTTCACATTAAATGTCTTATAATTAAAAAAAAATGACAGTCTTTAAAATCAAACCGAACTAGGAGCTCCTGGAGGCTCAGTCAGTAGAGCGACCAACTCTTGATTTTGGCTCAGGTCACGATCTCAGGGTCCTGGCGTAGAGCCCTGCCTGGGGCTCCGTGCTCAATGGAGAGTCTACTTGAGGATTCTGTCCCTCTCCCACTGTCCCTCCCCCTGCTCATGCGTGCTCTCTCTCTCAAATAAATAAATCTTTCAAAAAAATTCTAAAAAAATTAAAAAGTAAAATCAAACCAAACTATAAATTTGAGTCATGGCTCTTCCACTTATTAGTTTTATCCTTTGGCAAGTAACTAACATATTTGGGTCTCAGTTTTCTCATCAGTAAAATGAACATAAGAATAGCAACTATTTTGGAATGCAGAGGAGTTAAAAGACATGGTATGTGAACATCACATAGAATAGAGCATGACTCCTAATAATCAATCATTGGTTAGTAGCAAATTTTATTCTCTCTGTATAGAGGAGAAAACACTTGAAAGCCATTTAATCAATTGGGATTTTGGAAGCAACCATCATTCTAATCCTCAGACCAGATTCTGATCAATTTAAGAACTAAAACAAAGATGGAAGCCCACAATATCCCATTTATTACAGATAAAACCAGGTTAGATAATGTCATGAAAGCCAAATAAGATCAACAAAGGAGACTACCCCCAGCCTGAACCTTGGAGCATTTTAAGTCTTCAGATTCAACACACTTATTTGGCTCAGTAACCTGAATGGAGAAAGAAATAGTAACGTGATGAAATCCCATGCACTGGACTTCTGGAGCTTAACCCATCTCACTGAGAACTGTGGGCCAATTTTGGCTCCCATCAGCTAAGTAACTCCAGTCAACTAGATAACTCCAGGGTAGTAGTAGAGGTGGGAAGGTGCCACCAATGTGTGAGGGAAAATCCTTCCTCAAGAAAACCAGAGTTGGGAAAATAATATTCTCTTCTAACCCTCTCCAGTAGTTTTCAAACATTGTATTAGAAAAACTCTTTTTCTGGGGCACCTGGGTGGCTCAGTCATTAAGCGTCTGCCTTCGGCTCAGGTCATGGTCCCAGGGTCCTGGGATCAAGTCCCGCATCGGGCTCCCTGCTCTGCGGGAGGCCTGCTTCTCCCTCTCCCACTCCCCCTGCTTGTGTTCCCTCTCTCGCTGTGTGTGTGTGTCTCTCTCCCAAATAAATAAATAAATAAAATGTTTAAAAGAAAAACTCTTTTTCTTAAAAAAGTTTAATCTCAAGGCAAATCTTAATACTTAAAACCACTTTATGTAAAAGTTAATCTTAAGGCAAATCTCAATAATAAAACTTAAATAAAGGAGCAAGGAGGAGAGGAGAACCTTATTTATTCTGGGTCACAAATCTCATTAATCAATACTAATTAATCAGTCATAGTCCCTACTTAGTTTCTATTTAAATAATGCTTATACAAAAAAGGGAGGCAAAGTTTATAAAAATACAAATAGCACATATTTTTAATTATTGAATTTATTTAATATATTTGAATTTCCTTTATTTTGCTTAATATATATATATTAATCTTATTCTGGAAACTGCAGTGAAAGTACATTCCAATTAAAGTTAACAGACAACACTCTGGTTTTTTTTATTACATCACTTATTCCCCTGTAATATTCGCTTTCCAGGCAGAAATTTTGTCATTTATTTTGGTGTAATATAACCCATAGTAGAAACTGCACTATTGGGTGCATATGGTTACAATCTTATGCGTATGTGGAAAAATCATTTTTCTTTTCTTCCATACAGCTAAAAATTATCCACTGACTTAAACTACAGGCTTTGAAGGAAAAAGAATATAGCTTCACTAAAGGAAAATTTATAATAAATTTCAAAAATGGCCTATTAAAGACACTTTTCTTCTATTTAGCAATTTGTAGATAAGCAAAATTTATCTGTAAAATTATTCAAACTCATACTCAGGATTCTATGATATATATCCAAATCTATGATGTTATCCTGGTTTCACCCTGAGAAAAGCATCCTAGGAGCAAGAATGTCTTTGCAAGTCTGTAAAAATGGATTGTATAAAAATAACTATTTCTAGGGGCACCTGTTCCCAATATCAACAAGCCAGTGATTAACAGGCAATTGGAATTTTTCCCAACATATTATTCTTAGAATCACTATCTTGGCAATGTTGGCTTAAAAATCCCTGTAAAGTTGGCCATTGCCATATAGGGACTGTTGCAGCTCTTGTTATAAGTAAAGTCATATATGTATGTGTGTGTGTGTATGAGTATAAATATACATATATAGAGAGAGAGGGGGAGGGAGAGGGTGATGTTGTGGGTAACAAGGATGACCAAGAAAATTTGGTTCTTTTGGTATTTGGCATACTTAAAGGTGAGCCCGGATAGATCGACCTGTCGATTGTCATGTTGAAGCCGTCAGTGTGGTCATGGAAGGGAGAAATGGGGCTCTAGCCAGCACCCACCATATATAGCTCTAGAGTTTGGTCTTCAGTATGTATAAGGGTGACAGAGAGGATGGGGAGATAGGTGTCTCACATTAGCATACACAAATGCAAATATCTGATGGACAGCACTCAAGCTATGTTTATATGATGGAATTAAATAAAAT